ATAAAACAAAACAAAAAAAACCCGAGAACATGACAAATGTTGGCAAGGATGTGGGAAAACTGGAAGCTTTATCCACTACTGACTGGAATGCAAAATGGTACAGACATTGTTGAAAACAGTGTGGTGGCTCCTCAAACAACTAAAAATAGAACTCCATATGACCCAGCAATTCCACTGCTAGGTGGACTTAAAATCAGAGACTCAAAAAGAGGAAATGTACACCAATGTTCACTGGAGCACTATTACAATAGCCAAAAGATGGAAACAACCTAAATATCCACCAACAGATGAATGGATAAACAAAATGTGGTACATACATACAGTGGATACTACTCAGCCAGTAAGAGAAATGATGTCTTGATACGTTACAAACATCATGCTAAGCGAAGTAAGTCAATCACAAAGGACAAATACTGTATGGCCTCACTTACACAAAAAGACAAGAACAGGCAAATGTATAGAAACCTAAGTTTGTCAGTGGTTACCAAGGGTGGGAGGGAGGAGAAAGTCAGGGTTACTGCTTATGGAGTACTGAGTTTTAGTCATGGAGATGGAAAAATCACATTAAGGGTAGGGTTGCACAGCTGATTATTCCAATTGCCGTCAGTAAGTTGTACACCTGTAAAAAGTTGAATTAGCAAAAGTTGTGTGATACATATATTTACAACAACAACAAAGAGTAGCTGCTGAGGATGCTTATGTACAACCAAACACCTCATGGGATTTGGTTTCTTAATTTGGAGGTTTAGGGGCATGGTTTCACAGGACATCCCAGTTAACTGATCTAACGAAGTGTTTAGTGTTTCTGTTCTCCTAGTTTGTTGCATAGTGCCTGGGGTCTTAAAAGTTTCCAAGTGTCCACCTGAAGCTCAACAATTGGTCTCTATTCACCTGGAGCAACAGAGGAAGGAGAGTCAGGAATAGGAGGAAGTAATGGAATGTGTGGATAATTGCCTCCATGAACAACTGGCTACTTTGTCATGAGACCAGAAGAACTAGATGTTGCCCAGCTACCATTACTAAACATTTTGATCAAAGACTCCATAGAAGAATCCTGATCAAAAGGGGGAAAATGCAGAATAGAATTTATAATTCTAATGGACTCTAGACTTTCTGGAGCCATGGAGGCTGGATGAACCCCTGAAACTACTGCTCTAGATAATCTTTAAGCCTTAAACCAAAAATATCCCCTGTAGTCATCTTAAAACTGAACTAGTAAAAAAAAAAGGTCAAATTGACAACAGCAACTGGAAAGTACCATAGAAACCTTAGGAGGCACTGAGTTTATGTCAATGGGGTGGAACAACTCAGAAAAGGAGGTGAGAACAGTTGCACAACTTGAAGAATGTAATCAATGTCACTAAACTGTACATGTAGAAACTATTGAATTGGTGTATGCTTTGCTGTGCATACTCTCAAAAACAACAAAACAAAATTTAGAAGAAAAAAATGGGAATTAAAAAAAAAGAATAGCTTAGCTTAACTAGTAAAGAATGTCTGCCTTAAACATTATGCGCTTTTAAGATCTGTGTGGAATCAAAGAGACAAGAGTAACTCAAAAGATTAGATAGGAATTTTAGGGAGCAGTTGAGTTTCTTAATGGGGGAGGAATCACTCAGAAAAGGAAGTTGAGAATGGCTGTATAACTCGAGGAATGTAATCAGTATCAATGTAGAAACCTGAATTGGCGTATGTTTTTGCCATGTATATTCTCAACAACAAAATTATTTTTTAAAAAGTAGTTACCTGCTTGTATGTAAAGGGTAACTTTTCACTGTTTACTTTGTTTTGACTTTTCTAGAAAAAAATATTGTTAAAAAAATAATGAACAATAATAACCCCATTGATATCTGGATTTCTAAATGAACACTACTGCACTCTGATTGCACCAGTAATTATCCATGCTTCCTGACTGCATGTTTGATCAATTTTAGACTGCAGAAGTTGGTAAAAATCTTCAATTGCTTCACCTTTGGCCTTAGTGGTTGGTGCGTATATTTGAATAATAGTCATATTAACTGACCTTCCTTGTAGGCATATAAATATTATCCTATCACTTACAGGATAGATCTTCAAATGTTCTTTTTGACAATGAATGTGACGCCATGCCTTTTCAACTTGTTTTTCCCGACACGGAAGATCGTATGATTGTCCGATTCAAAATGGTCAACATCAGTCCATTTCAGCTTACTAATGCCTAGAACATCGATCTTTATGTGTTCAATTTCATTTCTAACAACTTCCAATTTTCCTAGATTCATACTTCCTACATTCCATGATCTGATTATTAATGGATGTTTCCAGCTGTTTCTTCTCATTTTGAGTCGTGCAACATCAGCAAAGGAAGGTCCTGAAAGCTTAACTCCATCCACATTATGGTCTACTCTACTTTGAGCGGGCAAGTCTTCCCAGCCTTATTTTGAGTGCCTTCCAATCTGAGGGGCTCATTTTCCAGCACTACACATGAAAATGTTCTGCTGCTACTCATAAGGTTTTCACTGGCTAATTTTTTTTTAGAAGCAGACCACCAGGTTTCTCTTCCTAGTCTTAGTTTGGAAGCTTTGCAGAAACCTGTCCACCAAGGGTGACCCTGCTAGTATTTGAAATACTGGTGGCAAAGCTTCCAGTATCACAGCAACACACAAGCTGACACAGTACGACAAACTGACAGACACGCGATGGATCAGCAGGCCTACTATGCTGGAAAAGGGCTTTAATGGGATCGTGGATCAGTATAATCTATCAAAGAATGAGTATACTACAGCAGTAAAAGGGTGCAGGTAAAGAAGTAGGGGTGGCTAAACTCCAACCTTTCAGAATAAAAAAATTAAAGACAGTTTTGAATGTTTACGTCAGCTAGAAAACACGGTGTGCCAGACACTATTCCAAATGTTTTCCATATGTTATCCTATTTAATACAATATGAGGTAGGTATTATTAACATCTCCATTTTATAGATAAGGAAACTGAGACACTGTAAAGTTAAATAACAGGGTCACCACCTGTATTCAAGTGGCAGGGATGGCTTTCAAACACTGGCAATCTAGATCCAGAATTTATGAGCTTAACAACTACAACAAATTGCCTCTTTGTCAACACAGCACTACTTGCATTGATTCCTAATCACTGGAAGTAAGCACTCAAGGTGAAAGTTTAGACATAAATCTTAAAGACCAGGCATGATGACAATGTCCTTAGCACAGCACTTACAACTTACAGTCTGGCTCTATCTTTCTGACATCATCTCCTAGCCACATCCCAACCAATAAGCTCCCATCGCCAACCCCAATCCCTCTATTAGAGCTATACCAAGCTCTTATCTCCAAATCTATGCACATGCTATTCTTTTTACTCAGAACATTCCCTCTCTCTTCCCACCCAGCATATTATTTGTCTGGCTAACAGACTTAAAACAATTGTAAAGCCTGGTCTGACAGCAAACGACAGAGACACAGACACAAAGACACATACACCTGGTTCTTCCTTTATGTTTCCAGATAACATATTCCATTATAATTTTAGACTAGAAATTCTCTTAAAACCAGGACTATCTATGATTCATTCTTATGTACAAAGTTTGACACATAGTTGTTTTTGTTGTTAGTTGCTATGGAGGTGATTCCAGCTCACTGCAACCCCATGTGTTACAGAGCAGAACTGTTCCATAGGGTTTCAAGGCTGTCACCTTTCGGAAGCAGATCACCAGGCCTGTCTTGCAAGGCGTCTCTGGGTTTGAAACGCCAACCTTTCAGTGAGTAGTCCAATGCAAACTGTCCGCGCCATCCAGGGACCTAAGTGCCCAAAAGACATTTCTTGAACTAATGTCTTTAAGTAAACTGGGGCTTATAAGAAAACTACTTCTGGGGTTCATATTTCAGTACATATTAATCGATGATGAGGCTATTATCATGAGGTTCTGCCAGAAACTAAATATTCCATGGGAAAGCTTCAACAGACCCATATACTATACCTCAGACTCAAGTAGATCATGTTTTCATGGCACTCCAGCGTAATCTAAAGCTATAAAATGCTATACTATTAAACCTATGGTTGCAACAGTAATCAAAAAAACAAATACAATATGAGGTATTTCCCACACATGGAAAAAGTGTATTATGTTAATGTCACAGAATTAGATAAAGTATGTTAAAACTTAGTATCAAATCTTGAGCTTAGCTTTAATAGAAAATTTCTTTCTATGGAGCCCTGGTGGCACAGTGGTTAAGAGCTTGGCTACTAACCAAAAGGTCAGCAGTTCAAATCCACCAGCCGCTCCTTGAAAACCCTATGGGGCAGTTCTACTCTGTTCTATACGGTCGCTATGAGTCGTAACTGACTCAATGGCACCTAACAACAACATTCCAGGCACGACTGCACAATCCCCTGTACACTAAAGCACTTTATATAAACCGTTTAGCTTTTATTTTATTGTACTGTAATTATGTTTCCATGACTCATCTCTATCAGACTGCAGGCTCTTTGAAGGTAAACTGCCATTCACTTTTGTATCTCAATGCTTAACAGCAAATAGGATTCCCAACAGGTTGCTGAATGACTTCAGTAGAATCTTTATGTCTATAAATAATCCTGCAAATAAAAGCCCATTTTTTGAAAGAAAATTAAGTGCAGAGGTTAAGTGATTTGGCTGGGATCACAGAGCAAGTAGGTGAACAAAATCAGAACTAAAATCCAGGTCTTCAGACACCAATTTTTATACCCTTTCCACTATACTATAGGTATCACCACAAGTAAGTAACTATAAGCAAGAACTATGTTCTGTAGTAGTTGCCAATAGTTAAAAAATAACAACCCAACCATAAAAATGAAACACAAAAAAATTATAATAAAGGTCACTTAATGATCAGCTCTTTGAACTTCCAAGTCATTTCTTCCTACTATAAAGATACAAAACTATTACACAAAGTTAGTTATTATGATAACAGTCTCAACAAAATACAGTACAAACACTTCTCAAATCAGTATTTGAGAAAAGATTTTACCTTGAACTTCTTTATCGTGGTACTCCTTTAGTTTTGCCCAAAGTTCCTTAAAGTCATTAGATACATCTGCAGAACCAGGGCTTCCACAACTGCTTCCAGAGATGTTCATCTTGCTGAATATGCTTCACACTTCTTTTTACCTAATGATTTATGACCTTTTCTGTTACATTATGTAAGCATGAAGTTATCTTTGGAGACAGCTGAAATACCTGAAACAACAGATCACAATACAAATGAATTCTGCATTTATTTTTATGTGATTTGCAGTCATGGAAGAAACACATGTCCAGCTGAAACTGAAAATATGTGTGAGGGGGAGTGAGGGAAGATGATTAAGATGAGAAAAGTCCTGATTTCAGTAATTTGCAATTTGTTGTTCTTGGTGCCATCAAGTTGATTTTCAACTCATAGTGACCCCATGTGACAGAAGAGATAGAAAGGCCCCATAGGTTAGGTTCAAACCGCCAACCTTTTGGTTAGCAGCCTAGGGCTTAACCGTTGAACCACCAGGGCTCCTTATTTGGTCTTTAGTTAAACTAAATTTTCAGGCAAACTTTCTCTTACTCCCCCCAGAAAGCAGTAATTACCTAAAAATATCAAAAACCCTTTGCCATCGGGTTGATTGGACTTATAGTGACCCTATAGGACAAAGCAGAGCTACCCCATACAGATTCCAAGGCTGTAAATCTTTATGGAAGCTGACTGCCACATCTTTCTCCTGCAGAGCACTTGGTGGGTTCGAACCACTGACCTTTTGGTTAGCAGCCGAGGGATTACCGATTGAGCCATCAGGGTTCTTGTCAAATTGAAAGGATTCGATTACTGAAAGGTTCTTAATCTTCCATGGTCAGTATTCGCTTAGCATTATAAAAAATGTATTGTTTTATTTTTGGATCGATGTAGGGTACAACAATGTATGAAATCCCAAACCAGAAAACATCCTGAAATATTCCTGACTTAACAAGTACTCAGGAGCCCCGGTGGCACAATGGCTAAAGCAATTCACTGCTAAGTGAAAGGTCGACAGTTCGAAATTACCAGCCGCTCCTCAGGAGACAGATGTGGCAGTCTGCTTCTGTTGAGATTTACATCATTGGAAACCCTATGGGGTCGCTATGAGTTGGAACTGACTCAATGGCAGTGGGTTTGGTTTGGTTTTTTTAACAAGTACTCACATACACAAAGATACATAAGTTGTACGTATGATGATTTAAGTATCAACACACATGAGGAGCTGTACAGCTTTCTCATAATGAGGGAAGTCAGTGAGCAAGATACAGACACAGCTAAGATCTATGAATACAGAACATCTAATATTTACAGGAACAAGGCAATCAGGGTAAAGCTACTCTGTCTCTCAGAGTAAAGGTAAATGATTAAGTTATTATTACTCATGCAGCCACTGAAGGTAGCAATAGGCTATTAAGTTCAAGTGTAGTAGTAAATATTTAAATATGTGTTCTTGAACTGAAGCCATTAACTACTTTTTTAGCTACCTACTTTTTTAGTGGTAGCTAAAAAAGTAAAATGATTAACAAGTCTACTAAACCTCACACCTGGCTCCTTAGGCAATGCCTTACCATTACCAACAAGTGCCGAAACTGACTTGGGTTTCTCGCTAACCATTTCTTGAGGTCTCTGATGAAGACTAAAATAAGCAATGACATGCCTAAAAGGAGCAAGATTATGTGTGAAAACTGTTGCCATCCAGTGGATTCCGACTCATAGCGACCCTATAGGACAAAGAAGAACTGCCCCATAGCTGCTGGTAGATTCGAAGTGCTGACCTTTTGGTGAAGCTACCTGGTAAACTGCAAAGCATTACAGAAATAAACACACTTTCAACCACGGCTACCAAGGCCTCCACCAGACTGAGTCCAGTACAGCTAGATGGTGCCCGGCTACCACCACTGACTGCTCTCACCGGGATCACAACAAAGGGTCCTGGACAGAGCTGGAGAAGGATGTAGAGCAAAGTTTTAACGCACAAAAAAAGACCAGATTTACTGGGCTGACAGAGACTGGAGAAACCACAAGAGTATGGCCCCCCGACACCCTTTTAGCTCAGTGGTGAAGTCACTCCTGAGGTTCACCGTTCAGCCAGGGATTGCACAGCCTCATAAAACAAAACGGGACTAATGAGGCACAGCAGTCCAGGGACAAGGACTAGAAGGCAGGAGGAGACAGGAAAGCTGGTGATAGGGAACCCAAGGTTGAGGAAGGACAGTGTTGAGATGTCGTGGGGTTAACCATTGTCATAGGGCAATATGTGTACTGTTTAATGAGAAACTATTCTGTTCTGTAAACCTTCATCTAAAGTACAAAAAACAGAATTATCTATGTGAGATCAAACTGACAACAGCAACTCAAAAGGTTTGATGGGAAGCCTAGGGGGCAGTGAGCTGAAGATAACGGTGATGGAATAATTTGGAAAAGGACAGTGAGAATAGCAGCATAACTGGAAGAACGTAATCGATGTCACTGAATTGTACATGTAGAAATTTTTGAAATGATGTATCTTTAGCTACGTATATTTTCACCAAAAAAGAAAAAAGGTCCTCCAAGTTTGAGAAGGGAGAGTACTGACATGTTGTGGGTTTGTTAACTAATGTCATAAAACAATATGCGTACTGACTTGTAATGAGAAACTATTTGTTCTGTAAACCTTCGCCTAAAGTACAATAAAAAAAATTTTTTTTTTAATACACTTTTATTAAGTTCTTCATACACTTAGGTACTTTTTGAGACAATCAGTGAGAACTGAACATGAACTGAATTTTAGATAATACTAGGAAAGTACTGTTAATTTTCTTGGGTATGATAATAGTATGGTTATGTTAAAACTTGAAGTCCTTATCTGTAAAAGAGCTATCTACTGAGGTGCTCACCAACAAACTGACACAAAAGGTGCTTCCATGGAAACAAATGAAAGATTTGATTCCAGTCAAAGCACAAGTCGAGTCACACAAGGGTCCAAGACAAACAGAAGGGAGAATGTGGTAGTCTTCTCCAGAACTCATTGCCGCAGGACCCTTATCCGTCACTTCTCACCAGGCGCCAGCAGGTTTTGCGGATGAACCTCACGAAAACGCTCGTAAAGGAAAAGCATTAACCCGCGCGGGCGGGGGTCAGCGCATGCGCGAGGCAGGCTCGGCGCTGGGAAGCTCTTCCACACACCGCGCGGTAGACGAAGGAAGCTGTACGGCGCGCGAGTTCGTCCTCCCTGTGGCCCACTGTTATTACTACAGCTCGGCCCCAGCCTACTTCCTCAGACTCAGCCCGGGTACCCGCGGCCACCCCCACCCCGGGAGCCAAACCTGTTCGCTTAGCGCGCGCTCTCCGCCTCAACCGGAAGTAGCGCTACGATTCAGCGCTCCGGGTTGGGGAAAAGAGGTTCCCCTACTCACAGCTTCCAGAATTGCCTCGAGGTTCCCGAAAGCCCCAACAGGGAAGCGCACGCCCTCTGGACTGTGAAGACACAGCTGCTCGCGTCTCTCCTCTTTCGCCTTTTTCCTTCACCAGCCAGTCGCCCCGCGGGAAACCCGGCCCCTCAGGGCAGCCCACGCTTTTCCGGGGGAGGGGGAAGACCGGATGGCCACAGGCCGAGCGATGCGGCCGGACCCGCCCCGCCGGTAGCCCGCGCGACGTCACGCGGGAGTTCCCGTGACGTCACACCCCTTCCTCCTGCAGCCCAGCGAGGCACCGCCCTTTACGACCCCCGCCCTAAACAGAAAGCGAAGCTTGGAAGTGGAGGGACGCCTCAGGCGATCGCCAAATCGTTTTTGACCTGCTGTGGAGAAAACTCAAGCCGTTGTACCGGAGAGCCTCAAGTGCTCAGTGTATGTTCAACAACAGGAAAAGCATGTATACGTGACATGTTCCACATGAAAAGTTAAAATTAACTGATGTGAGATTGTACACAGATAATCTAAAGTAGTTTTCTGTCGTTAGCTCTTACCTACAGTTTAGTGATGTGACCTGACAGGACTGGGTGGTAGCTCTGTATATCAAAAGGAGGCATATTTTGCTGAGGTTAGATTGACTGTTTCTGGTGAACCGGAATGGAGAAGGAATCAGGAGTGATCAGCATTATTTGTCGGACAACATGCTGTTAGGTAATTTTTTTTTGTTTTTAAATCGGCTTTTCCTGTGGCTGTTTATGGTTTTCAGACTGATAGTATGTTTTCCTGTTTATCTTAATTTCCAAAAGAAGCGTTTTCAGACCGTAGGAATTCTACAAATGAAGTTGAAGAAAATACGTCGAGTAGACAAGGATCACAATATCTTTTAAACAAGTCCGGAATTTTTCTGTAATACTTGAAAATCTTGGGAAGAGGACAGGACATTTTATAAACTTTTACAAGTTAAGTAGTGTTTAGAAAATAATAAATACGAAGCGTAAAGTTAATTTTTCCACTCATTGCATATGTTGGTGGATGAGTATTGTACTTACTCCTTGAGATTGGACGTAACAGATGTTTATATACAGTTCTAGTATTGCCATAGGAAAGTTGGTATCTTTATAGAGGGGTGTTGAACCTTCATTACCCTGTTAGAGTAACTATCATTCACATCTAAATTTGGTTAAGGCTTAACTCATAAAGCTTTTTAAAGAAAATGCATGAAAAGTTGACTGTGCCATTTTTAATACAGCATGGGAGATATAATTGGCAGGATGAAGCTTTTATAATTTTTTTAGTGGAAGTGGAGAGTTTTGTTATAAATGGAAAGAATCCAAAGGTAACCAGTTGCTGTTAAACAGCACATTGAAACAATAGTATACTTGTAGTTTAAAGAAAAACTGTGGTAGCCCAATGACCTAACCTGTTCCTCTGGCTTCTGCCAACAGCTCCACTGTCCAATCCATTTATGCAAATTAGAATCCAAAGAATTATCCTCGACACCTTGTTTCTTAACCTCCGTATTCCAGTCCATTACCAAACCAAACCCATTGCTGTTGAGTCGATTCCAATTCATAGCGACCCTGTAGGACAGGTTAGAACTGCCCCATAGGGTTTCCAAAGCTGTAAATCTTTACAGAAGCAGGCTGCTGCATCTTTTTTGCTCATGGATTCGAACTGCTGACCTTAAGGTTAGCAGCTGAGCACTTTAACACTGTGCCACGAGGGCTTCTTCAGTCCATCACAAGTCCTGTCAGTTTTACTTACCAAATATCTCCCAAATCCATCCCTTTCTCTGTGTCACCACCACCATAATCCAAGATACGGTTATCTCTTACCTAGTCTAAAAACCAAATAAAACCCGTTGCTGTCGAGTTGATTCTGACTCTACTGCTAGTTTATTTTTCGTATTCAACCAGCCACCCCACCAAGCTTTTCTCTTCATTATGTTCAGAAAAAATTTTTGAGTGTTTCCAATTCATGTATATATTTAGTTTTAAATTGTGTGCATGTATTGCTGGAAGATGGTCTGTAGTCTAATGAGTAAGTTATAGGCTCTGGAGCCAGACTCTAGTATTTCCTGACTGAGAGACCTGGGCTAGTTACTCATTTTTCTACCTGTAAAATGAGGATAATAGTACAAACCTCACATGGTTATGAAGATAGTATGAGTTAATACATGTAAACTGGTTAGTATAGTGTTCAGATGCATAGTACGTTTTCAATAAATGCTAGCCATTGTTAGTACTGAAGTAATAGACTATAAACATTATAACTCATTTTTCAAGGCTGAGAAAAATGAATAGAAATGTAATATCCTCTCCTCCTCCCACCTTAAGTTGTGTCCACTTTGAGACAATTTCTCTACAGTGTAGCTACTGTGACCTTGAAAGTAAGTCTGATAAAGTCGCTCTGCTGCTTAAAACCTTTCAGTGGCTTCAGAAAGCCACTTTGAACTCCTCTACCACCTCTCCAGCTTCATTTTCAGACATATTCTACCCTCTGGGCTCTCTGGCCTCTTAGTGTCTTGAGAGTCACAATCTTCTAGGCAAAAGGGCCTTTACATGCTGTCTCCTTAGCCTGGAATTCTTGACCAAACTCACTGCCACCCTTTGCCTAACCCACTGGCATCGAACCCACTGCTGTCGAGTCAGTTCCGAGTTATAGCGACCTCATAGGGTTTGCAAGGCTGTAAATCTGCACGAAAGCAGAGTGCCACATCTTTCTCCCATGAAGCCACTGACGATTTTGAACCGCCGACTTTTCAGTTTGCAGTCGAGTGCTTTAACCACTGCGCCATCAGGGTTCCTTGCCCTTTGCCTAGCTAATTATTAATCTCTTTTATTAAATGATCTTATAGCACCATGTACTCCGTATCTTATACTGATCAGAATTTTAATTCTTGATTTAATTTGTCTCCCTACTAGTTTCTTGAGGTCAAAAACTATGTCTTACTCATCATTTTATCTCCACAAACTAACTTAGTGCCTGCCACAGAGTTGGTACTCTGGATGCATGACTGAATTGAGCATCTCTGACTGGATTCCTGTATTTTATGTTAGTGGAAGCCTTTGGGTATATTAAAAATTCTTAGATTATCTTTATGAAGTTTTGTAACGGTCACTTTAACAGTAGCAATGGTAGACATACTAATAGATGTTTGCCCCCAAAAGGAGCTTTAAGACCCACATGGTGAAATAAATTACAAAGTCTCCAAAGATTTGTTGAGGAAACTTCTTTTAACAGAGGAGCATTACTCTTTGTAATACTTGTATTCCCATGTTTTATAACTTAGAACAATGCTTCCCATACTTAGAACATGCATATTACATCTTGTGATAAAAAGACAAGGCTGCTTCCAGCTAGAGTTAACAGGGACTGGGACTCCAACAACCCTAGGCCCAGTGCTTGCTGCCACTGTTAGGGCTTGGGTTTTTAATGTCCCATTTGAGAACCCTGGTTAGGATGTTGGATTTAAAAATTTTGTGGTAGCAGTAAAACTATAGGCTTCTTAAAACTAGAATTTTGGAA